GGAGATGGTGGCAGGGTACAAATAAAGTTGTTGTTGTTGTTGTTGTTGTTGTTGTTGTTATGAAGTTATATACTAAGGAACAGAAAGCAATTTCTGTTGGTGAGCTATTTTCATACTCCCAGAGAGGCAAATTTTCTAAGTAGTTATCTATCATTGTATTTAAATGCACGTAATTGTGCATCTGTGTGTGTGATCCACCTTTCATGGGTAGACATAGTGGTTCTCATTTACTTAAACCACAATTCAAAACTGACTGTAAGGATAGTTTCTACCTGCATGGACAATGTGCCCCTCTTCCATCAGAAAATGTGATCATCCCTTTTCTTTGCTTTCACTTACAGCATTCATTCTCTTCCCCGTTCCCTTCATACACACACAGTTGAACAGCACTGAAGTGTAAAATGTGCTTTCGCCAAGGTCAGTTTCTTGTGATTACTTGCCTGTGGCAACTGATGCCAGTCGCAACAGACTGAGTCTCAGCAGTCCACAAAGTCACATTGCTGCTTAAGCAGAGGACATCTAGTAGGTTATAATCGCTGGTGTTGAAGAGATCTGCCGTGCTGCTGAATTTCAGCACAAACATTTAACTCTTTGTATATTATACAACAGTCTGAAATCTCTCCATCTAAGTTGGAATTTGTACCTATAAGGAGGTATAGAAACACCCAAAGGATAAACCTTGCATACACGTCTTAGACAAAGGCAGTGTTTCAATACCACAAGTATTTGGAATTGAAACTTGTCTACCTGTAATTGGTTAAATGTACTCAAAAAAACCTAGATTAGTTAACTCTACTTTAGAATAGATGTGGTAGCCTAAATTGCAACAATCTGAATTTTTATATCCATTCTGTAACTGAAGGAGAAAGGAAATTACACATAAGTTTTTATTTGACGGTTGATGGAATGAGGCAATTAATTTTATTGTATTTTAATATATACCTTAATGCATTTCAGTTGTATCATTTTTTCTGGTCAATTTGCAAATTAGTCCTAGTTATTGGAGGATATAGAATAAAAGAAATGGTTGCTTACAAGTAACCAAGTTTCTTCGAGTGGTTATCTGTGAAATTCGCACCTGTGGTACTTTCAGTGGCTACACAGCTGTGTTGAAATTCTTCTGGAAAGCTCCTGAAGGTGGAGGGCTACAACCCCGGCCCCCATCCCACAGGGCATATAGCCAGAGGGAAGGGGCTGTAGCCTCAGTTCCTTCTGTCCGCAAAAGCAACAAGAAGCTCAGAAACTATAGCTCCCTCCTCCTTACATACAATTTAACCTTTTGTGCATCATTAGGATAACAATTCTCAGGCCAGTATGTTAGCCTCTGGGGAAAAGAACTGCACTTCATGTAGGGGAAAGCTCCCCGGAGTGCAAAAACATGTGAAATGCTTGATATGTTTGGGGTACAGGGGCAGTGTGACTGCCTCTCTAGCTTGCTTTTCAGGGTCACCGATTACTTACTTACTTACTTGCTTACATAGGCAATCCCTCATTGTTTGAGTAAGATTGTCCTCCAAGTTCAGTGTCCTGGCAGTCGGTATGTCGGTGACTGTGGAGCCCTATTCTTCCGCAGTGAGGGTATTGATTTCCAGGTGGAAGGCAGTTCCAGTCAGGGTTGGCTTGACGCACCTTCCTCTTGGCACATTTCTCCCTTTCACCCTCCATTTATGCCTCTTCAAATTTTACAGCACTGCTGGTCACAGCTGACCTCCAGATAGAGTACTCAAGGGCCAGGGCTTCCCAGTTCTTGGTGCCTATGCCACAGTTTTTAAAGTTGGCTTTGGGCCCATCTTTAAATCTCTTTTCCTGTCCTCCAACATTCTGTTTTCCATTCTTGAGTTCGGAGTAGAGTAACTGCTTTGGGAGACAGTGATCGGGCATTCAGACAACGTGGCGAGTCCTGCAGAGTTGATGGCAGTTTGTAGATTGTCCATGTTTTGCAGGCATATAGCAGGGTTGGAAGGATAATAGCTTTATAAATCTATTACTCTGGACAATGCTGGGGACAACGTATGCCCATGCTGGACTTACCAGGAACAACTGTGGCTTCATGGCAAGCCAAGAGGGGTGACAAGCACTCCAAAGGCATCCCCACTAGCGACATGTAGCTGCAGGAAGCCCCCATTGCCACAAAGCTCTGACAGAAAACCAAGCACCTGGAACCAGAGCCTTCCTCTGCACAGCCACAGAAACTACCACAGATGTGTATTTCACAGAAACCACGAAGAAGAAATTCATATACTAAGAAAACCTTGTAAAATTGATTAAAGGGCTCCCAAGAAATGCTGTTAATAAAGGTAGAAAATACTGGAATATCAGATTTGTAATATTAGAGTATGCTAGAATTAAATTCACAAAATATGGAATATTCAATAATAAAAGCAGGATTTAAATTGAGAACAAAATCAGAATGGGATTAGTGAATGAAGAACATCCAACTAGGTGGATCTTGGTATGGTCCAAGATAGACTAAACGATGTGTTTATTTTACTCTCTACTACCTTTTCTATAGTTTTAATTCTATAGGAGGACTTGTCTTCCCATTCTACACCTGAGATGCTTACCCAGGAGTCTTTTGTGGTGAATTTTTACTAAAAGGTAGTATAGAAAAACATTGTTTAAAATGGAATCCTTATGGAGATCGAATTCCCCCTTATATTCTAGAGTTAGAAAAATCATGAAATGAGCATTGATGGTAATAATTCCAAATTGTCACAAGATATGAGTAAAATATTTATGATACTATCTAGATTTTCTGTATCTGAAAAAAACAAAATCATTAGTTGCAAATGATTAAGCCCCTCCAGACTAGTTACTATGCTGAGTAATCACTAAAATCCTTGAGATAAATTTTCTTAACCCAGGAAGAGCTGGAGAGTGAATTCAGAATTTCTAGTAAACAGTTTTTAAATTACCCAGGTTTCTTGTATGTATGGGTATGTATACACACAGAAACAAACACATAGAATAAATATTCATGAAATGCACATTGCAAGACTAAAATTGAACTGACACACACTGGTCATTAACTTACTTCTTCTCTATATGTAAACTAAGCCTTTGTGACAGGTCTCCCCATTTTATAAGATATTGGTTGACTTTCTTATCCCTACAAGCAATTATTTATGAATCATACTCTTACATGTTCCTTGTTGGGGCACTTACAGAATATCATGACTCATTGGCAATTTTCCTCTAGCAAGATTTGAGGGGCGGGAGGAAAATGCCAACCTGCCATTAAACTACACCAGATAGTCTTTCAAGCATGAATTCTAATTATTATTTATCCCGTCTCCTTTGATGACTTGGGGAATGGCTTACTCATCCACATTAATGCAACATTTCAGTCTTCATTAAAACATTACGAAAATTGAGGTTTCACTTGAACATTATCAGAGTTAGCTGCTCATCTCAAGTATGCATTGCAGGAGACATTTGAATATTTCAGGTATCTGACTTCTCAATATGCGATCAGATTTCTGTTTCTTACAATTAGAAAAGAAGCATTTCCAAGTAAAATCAGAAATAGATTTTTTAAAAGGACAAAACTGTTCAAAATGAGTCACTTTGGGACATCTTCCAAAATTCCACACCTCTGCTCTAAATCAACAGGTGAAAATTGCATGAGCCCCCCCTCAGCCACTTTTCCAGGGTCCAAGGCCCTTAAATCCCCCAGACAGCTTCTTCTTTGCTTCACAAATTTGGGCAGAAGTCCCGTAATTCAATGCCTGCAAATACCCATTGGTGCAGCATTGAGATTAATGACACTACCCAGTTCCCCATTCTTCCAAACGTCCCAAATTAGCAAATTTACTCAGAAGTGTGCTGGGGAGGGGAATGTTCTGTAAAAATTGGTTTCTGTCTCATTTCCCCACCTAAATCATGGGGCCATCCAGACTGATTAAAAAGTCCCACATTTTGTTCTTGTTCTTTCCAGTTTTATAATAAGCCAACTTGAGGACCTGGACTGTTTCCAGACAGCAGTTTATCATGGGAGAAAATGGGTTGAATTAACCTGTTTTCTCCTGCTTTGCTGTCCGCATGGGCACCCAAAAGAAGCATACTTTCCTATGTGTTGTCCCCATTGTAGTGCAGTAACAACCATGCTAGAATGGAAACAACCCAAATCCCCTCGCCCCAAAAAAAACCTTACCAGGCCACCATTACCGGGCAACCATTATGCATCTCTCGAGGTTCCTGGTATATACCAGTGTAGCACCAGGAAGCAGAGGGAGAGGTAGGAACATTTTGGGGCAGGAGAGATACCCCCCCCCCGTGCTACATTGGTACATTGCAGGAAGCATGGGGGGATTTGGGGAGGGGGTGGGTTCCCTCTTTGCTTCTCTGGACCCATGAGACACAAAGAAGCAAATTGGATTGTGCGGATTGACCCCTCAGTAGTTCCAAGACTACCAAGGAGTCAGTCCCCACAGGGAAGGGACCATACTCCATTAGAAGAAGACCATGGTCTGATGAAGTATCAAATTAATCGGGGACAAAGCAGGGTTTTTCTGCTTTGTCTCAAATTAATTTGGTTTTACTGAAGACGTTATTTGGATGCCTCCAGTAAAACCACAGGAGCTCCCGCATTACGGGCCCTGTCTGGATGAGCCCTAAGTGTGATAAACCTATGACCATAATAGGGGCAGAAATAATTTTTAGACATTCATTCCCAAACACTTTCTCTCTATGTTCAAATAACATGTAAAGTGAGACCCTTTTAACCATGGAACTTATATCTGCAACTTCATTTATTTATGCCCAGAGGGGAAAACAGTTTCTCTAGGAATTTGCTAGGTGTTCCAGGCAATTCTATAGAGTTGTATGAGAAAACTTAGTAAATGCCTTGGTCTTTCAATGCAATCTCTAGGATATGCTAGGACCAGGAGTGATGTAATTCAATTGTGTTCAGTCATATCCGTAGTTTTACATGACCATAGTCTGGCCAGGAAAGTATACCACACAAATACAGGAGTCTTACTGTATTATTCCCCTCTTACTTCAACTGCTCCTTGTGCTGCTTTGGCCAATCCATATGATTCCCTTTACTCGCAATGCAGGAATCATTCTTCGAATGCAAAAAAGAAAGAGGACAAAATTTGCTGTTGTATAACTCTGGTATCGGTGGCTACAATGGGTAGCAATTTATTTTTAAGTCAAGCTAAAACAAGAGCAGTCTCTCCCTCCCTCCTTCTCCCCTGTTCAAACCCCTCATTTCCACTATATTGAGATCATCTGATTACGCTCCTAGTGATCTAATCTGTTACATAACCAAAACACACAGAAGCAAAGTCTGCCGTCCACTCAGCGCTGGAAGCTATTGGGACTTCAAAGGAAGGAACTGTATGCAAGACAGCTGCACAACTGAGCCTTTAATAATGAAAGGAAATGCTAAGAAAAATAACAGTTACGAGATGGTTCCTAGGAAGAACTGCCTCAAGGTTCACAGTGCCCTCTTTCCACCCCTGCACTTCATTTTAAAAAGAGAGAGATTTAGGAACATTTAAAGACATTGCATTTTTAAGAGACATTTGCTTATTTTCTGTTTTGAAAACTGAATTCTACTCACAGCAGTTGGCTTTACCGTTTTACTTCAAGACTATATCCCTGGGAGGCATCCCATTGGTATAACTAAAATGGTCACATTCCTAATTATTAGATCCAAATAAGAGGGCAGCTCTATCAAAAGCTGGCGCTCAACTACAAAGGAGAACATCCCGATTCAGAGATGGAGAGAACCCATTTTTGTGATAGTCTTGTGTGCAGGAGAAAAGGAGTAGGTAGGGAATCAAGCAACACCCCCCCCCCCACTTTGATCTCCAGACTCAGAGAATAATGGTTCATCTAAAACATGGCCAAAAACATGAAGCTGGAAACAAACCATGGTCTCGCTAACTGTAGAATGACACCATGGATGACAGGGGAAATGAAGATAATGATTGAAAGGTAGGGTTACTGCTTCACATGGGAAATAATTGATGGAGAGGACGAATCTATGAACCTGTCAGAAATTTGCAACCAATTGGAGATCTTGTTTCTGTCCCACTATCCACTCAAGTGCGTTTGGTGGGACAGAAAAGAGGGCCTCTTTAGTGGCTGCTTCCAGACTGGAACGTCCTCCCAAGAGAGACCAAGAGGACCCCATCTCTGATGGCCTTCCACAAGCAGGTCAAGTTCTTCCTCTGCCAGCCGGCATTTGGGAAAGGATAAGGCAGGCACTGCTGGGGAAGTTGTGAGTGGGGGGTTGGGGGGAATGTGGGTTTTGAAATACATTTTAATTGTGCTTATTATATTTTTATTTTATATTTTAACTTAACTCACACAGTACTGTTTACTGGTCAATATTTGGGGGTTTTTTAATTTTTGTATTTGCTTTGTTTAAAATGGGTACCAAAGTGTGGTTGTTAGCCAATAGCCACTTTGAATTCCCACGAAGAGAAAGGCAGGGTATAAATAAAAGAAACAAACACACAAATCTAGGTCTGCTTATTAGGACATTAACAATAGAACATGTTTGAAATGTTCATGCAGCTGACACTACAATAGCAAATAGAAGGTGCACATGCTCAATGTCTAACATTTCCCACAATGTCACTTCATCAAAACCTTGATCAAACCCTGCAGTAGTTTAGCAGGCTTGCTATTATTATGTACTTCCAAGAACACTCAGAATTCAACTGCCTATTGACACAAGGCTTTGTTATATCCTCGCTGAACTACTGTAATGTGAAATATTCCTAAGTGTTCAGAAACTATAGCTTGTCCAGGATGCTATAATCAGACTTTTGAACTATAAAGATCGTATATAACTATTGCTTATTTATATCCTACATGAGGCACTGCCCATTACAGCTCTCCTTTACGACCATTATTTTTGTGTCTGTCCATGTTTTATGACTTTATGATGATTTAGGACCACATCACACTAGAACATAGATCCACTTTAAATCCAGTTTCTGCTTTCTGCAGAATTCTGGGGCTTGTAGTTTAGGGAGGGGCCTTTAAACTGCTCACACAGACAGTCCTGGGCCTCCCCAAACTACAAAACCCCCAAATTCTGCAGGAGGCAGAAACCGGATTTAAAGTGGAACCATGCTCTGGTGTGATGAGGCTGACAATCTAGCTTATTTTTAAAAATGCGAGCTGACTAGTATGTTCTTAAAGCATGGGATTTTTATGTATCATGTGGCCCAGTCTTCCTCAAGTCTATTACTCTCCAGATTTTTGGGATCTGAACTTCCCAAGCATAGGCCCCACCTACACTGCATATACTTTAATATGTAGACTCATATTATGCAGTAAAATTGTGCCATAGATAAAAGTGAGGAATTCTGAGTGCTGTTAGCCAAAACCTCTGCAGGAGCACAAGCTGAGTTCAAGATCTATCACAAACTTCGTAAGTTTATGCCAGGGATAGTCTTAGTGTGGGCTTGGGGCTACATGTATCTCCAGATTCAGCCCTTGCCATTCCAGATTCCCTCGACTACCCATTTTTTTCTGGTAACAAAAGAGTGAGGGAAGGTGAATGTATCTTCTGGAAACTTCAAAAAGCATCAATTAACCTGCTAAACAAACTTCAGGGACCCATTATGTTGTTTAATCATTGCAATAAATGCCAATTTTCAAAATCACAACTGGACTTCTAGTCACCTCAGATTTCCTAATTTTGTGCTTTGAAAATATTGAAAGTCTGGGAAGGCCCTTTATTTGTTCAGTCACTTCGAACTCTTCGTAACCTCATGGACCAGCCCACTCCAGAACTCCCCAGCTCCTTTAAAGTCAATCCGGTCAATTCAAGGACATCATCCATCCATCTTGCTCTTGGTCAGCCTGTCTTCCTTTTTCCTCCAATTTTCCCCAGCATCATTATCTTCTCCACCCTTTCCTGTCTTTGCCTTTAATATCCTTCCCTCCAGTGAACAGCCAGGCTTTTTTTTTCCTGGAGTATGGACTGGTGTAATCTTCTTGTCGTCCAAGGCATTCTCAGAATTTTCCTCCAACACCATAGTTAAAAGAGTCTATCTTCCTTCGCTCTGCCTTCCTTATGGTCCAGCTCTCAGATCCATAGGTTACTACAGGGAATGCCATTGCTTTCACTATGCGGATATTCATTGCCAGTGTGATGTCTCTACTCTTCACTATTTTATCGAGATTGGTCATTGGGAGGCCCTTGGAGAGTCCCAAATGTATAAAAATAGTGCCTGAATCCATCACAGGTGCCCACCACAGACCAAAGGGAACTGCTACCACAAAGAGACTCAGCACAGTACTTTGACTACAGAGGAGTGGCTATACAGAATCTTAGAAACTGAAAGCATGCTTGGTTTGTAGAGTGATGCCATTTGATGTACCTCTTGCCTGATTCTTGAGTAGTTGTAAACAGCACTTGAAACAAATACTGCTGGTTAGTGAGAGAATCGAATATTATTGAATAATACACTTTTAAAATGTAGGCATCCTCTTGACAAGAAATGTGTCCTTCTTCTAAGCAAAGGTTCACCCAAGTGAACAACTCAAAAGTATTGTGTGTGGTAAGGCAGTTGCATCAGTGGCTTTTCAAATACACTCTTTCAATTTTAGTCAAAAGAACCAGTGCTTGCTTTACTCAGGATCTACAATATTTTTCAAAGTATCCTCAACAAAGACCACTCGTCGTAGTATTTCAGAAATTCTGTTCTAATACATCAGCTGAGTGCTACTGCAGAGAGTGCTAGGGAATGTGTGAGTGCAACCGTCACATCTTTTTTTTAAAGATTCCATTACAGCTTTATGTCTGCCTCTCTCTAAACTCAGGCCTTGCCAGTATGTAGGATTAAATGACTTTCCAAGGTTGAATAAGCCACCATCTGTCTGTTTTGCATGGTGCTGTTTGCCATCCGGGAGGCTTGTCCCTCAGAGCATGTTCCTACCATATGTTAGCCTCAAGTGATCAGCCATGCCAAGACATTTGGGAGGAGAAAAATGACTAAGTCTAGCTGGAAAACCCTCTCTAGAATTCCAGAGGAGGTTCTCCGGGGCTGTGTTTGTCAAACTGTTCAGTCCTTCCTAACCTCCTGTGATACCCATCTGCTGGGAACTTTACAGATATGTCATCCAAAAGCAGACACTGATTTTGTTTCAACAGCGTAATAATTGCATTATTTTCATGCACATGGATCTTTAGTAAGCTTGGGAATGCATCTGAAAAGACATGATCCTGCAAGAAGCTGCAAAACTATAGATTTTACGATGTTACATTCATCCTACTATCCAATCAAGTTAACATAACATATACAATCAGTCAAACCCAACCCTTAAAAAATCAAGAATGAATGCATAAAACCAACTTAGCTAATTTCCATTAAACAAACCCACACAGCCATCTAAAAGGTATGTAGAGGTTGATGTTTCCAAGACAGAATTTTCCTAAGTGTTTAGATCAACTAAAATGATTGAGTAAAAAGCTGTCAAAAGCTGATATTATTAATCTAAGGTTGCCAGAAGTCAAAGCCTATCCAAAAGACTCCACAGTTTTCATGGTTCATCTCCAGGTGGGAGAGAAAGGTGAAAATTCTCCCTTTTTGCTGGGCTTAGCTCCAAGTAAGAGAAAAGGGCTGTATGCAAATCTCCAGCTCAGCTAGAACATGGTGTTGTGGTTCTGCCTGTGACTGTTTCATTGCCTGATGTTTCAGAGAACAGTGAACAAGCTTTTGCAGACCTTCAGGAGTCTGAGGCTGGGGATTTTGGGCAGGAGTCTGGTGTTGCTCGTGATGCGGATGAGGATTCTGGGATTGTCAGGCCAACTGTGGATGTTCAGTTAGAGACAGATTCAGAGGCTGACAGACCTGAGCTAACTTTCCCAAGAGAACCAAGGTCGGAATCTGAAAGGAATGTGTTAATTGGAGATGTAGAGCAGTCTGACTCCCCTGAGTTAGACAGAAGAAAAGAGATTTGTCAACAGAGACAGATGGCCGAAGGGAGGCACTGCTCTCTCAGACTGTTGTCTAAGAAAGGCACTCCTCAGAGTTTTCAAGGAAAAAGACATAGTTTCTTAAGTATAAATGAGGGTTGATTTGGTTTGATTCTTCA